AAGGGTGACTCGCCCTTTAGGATGCCGACTTGAAACTATTTATTTAATTTTTTATATTTTTTGATTGATATGATAAATAGGATTTTTTTTTCTTCATTTATTTCGTCATAAAATTAGCATGATTCATCTCAAAGGCTGCGTCAAAAGAGTTTCGCAATCGGCCCTCTATAAAAACAATTTGAAGAGGTAACAAGCTTATTTTCAGCTCGTCTGCCCTAATATGAATGAAGGCTAAAAGTGTAGATGACATTTACATTACTATCAATAATGTTAATGGTAATTATAACAATAATAATAATGATGATGATAATAATAATAATGATGATAATATTGATAATAATGGATAATTTTACAGAGCGCATATTCACCATGAAAGGTGCTCAAACTGCTCCGGCTCTGTTAGGCTACCGATATCGGTGCTCGCAGCATTCACCTACCGGTGTTTATTTAATACATGGGTGAAGAGTGGCAACTGTTGATTAATATTATGGCAAAGGACACTTATGCTGAACATGGGCTCGAACCCTCGACCTTCTCATCTCCAGTCCAGGATTATAACCATTCGACTTTGACACCTTTACAGTGTAAAACTGGCGTGCCTGTGTAATTGAGATCAAGCGACTTAAATCATGATAGAGAATATGACCACTTAATTCCATAATTCGATGAAATATTAAACATTTTGATAAGACGTTTTATGAATCAAAAAGCAAAAACAAAACAAAACACTGAGCAAGAACAACAACATTGTATAAATATCGACGTCAATGCTAGGACACGGGTTGACAGTTGCCTGAATATTTGTCAAAATCGAACCAATACAAAATCAGAGAAGCAGACTGGTTCAATTTTGAATGATAACGGACAAAGAATAAGAAAGTAATGAATTTTTGACAGATGTAATCCCTGTACGTTTAGGCACTTCAAATTGGCTGAATCATTAATGTCACTGTGACGTATTGCCGGGCAACTTTCCCATATGTTTCATTACACAAAATTATTAAAATGTAAAATTATCTTAACATTTTTGCCTCAGGATGGTCTTTTCCTTTTAGAGGACATATTGAAATAAGGTAGGCTTATCCATAATATGCCTACACTAGTGCCCCTAATGAGAAGGCAATAAAGAGAAAAACATAAATTAAATATTTGTTTGTCTATACAAACGGGTGATCATGACTACGTCACAGTCGACTGACCAAACTGATAATTTGAGATTCGCATAGATTTAGTTATCTCTTATTTCAAACATTCACAACTCAATTCGAATTATTTCAAATTTTTCGCCATTTCGTTTCCATTCTTCTTTTGCGTTTTGGCAAATGAACTTGGCCATGACCGTAATAGTACTTTATACCGTAGGAGTAGATTCGAGATATTAGTGGTTCCCTCTCTCAAGAGAAATGCGAATCCCTCTTATATTTTGAAGGCTGGTAAAATAACCTCGAGATCTTCTTTGCTCATTAATTGACACGTTGGAGGACATTGTACTTTCTATTTTTTTAGTATTTGCTGGTAAAGAACTTGTTTTCAAGGATAGGATTGATGATACTGAAATCAACACAAAGTAACGTTTTCTAATGATTTTCCAGAGAAATTTCGAGATTTCTGGGTTTTTTATTACTATCAGCATCATCATTTTTTTGTTTAATCATCATTATTAATATCACTATTATAACTATTATCGTTACTATCATTATGATTGTTAGTATTATCAGAATCTTCATTATTATAATAAGCCTATTCTCGTTATTGTTATCATTATTATTACTATTATTATTTGTATCACTATTTCAATATAATTAATATTATTAATAATATTGTTATTATAGTTTATTCAGTGAGATCTGGTGCTGATACACACGTCTTCTAACAGGCTGATAGTGGTGAGCTTAGAAGTTTCTAGTTAATCTTAAAGGTATTACAAAGTTTTGGTAAATTTCGAAAAACGGGTGGATAGTGAATCTTTACAATTTTGATATATTTGGATGCCCCTGTGGATGTATTAAAAGCACTAGAAATGTGAGCCCCTAAAACACTTCTGCTTTCGAGAAATATTGAATATAAAGATTTACAGGTGCTCCCGGTAAATTTTGATAAATTTCAAATAGCTCCTACGGCCGTACAATGGTAGCTGCGACCATGAAAATCTCAGAATATGTAGTTGTGCTTTATAATTTCCGAACGGGAATATATAATCGGTCGATTTTAGTCAAGAAACATTGTTTTATAGCTTAATTAATATCTTGACCTCGAGAGGGAGCTATACAACATGATGTGTTTATTATTTACAATTTCATAAATTTAGAGTCCATTTAGACCTCGACAACGATAACTGAATATTGTAGGATCGCATATGCATCCAATATGTTCATTTGAACCAAATTCATGACCCCATACCAAAACAATGAAACAAGAGAAACACGCCTGAAATATAGGAGGGGAAAGAGAGAGGGGAAGAGAGACAGAGAGAGAGGGGGAGGAGAGAGACATAGAGAGATATATAGACAGATAGATTCTCTTTCGCTCCCTCTCTCTCTCTATCTGATAGAGAGAGAGGGAGCGAAAGAGACAGAGAGAGGGAGTGACAGAGAGAGAGAGACAGAGGGGACGAGAGAGACAGAGGGAGAGACAGAGACAGAGGGAGCGAAAGACAGAGAGAGAGGGAGTGAAAGACAGAGAGAGACAGAGAGAGACAGGGAAAGAGAGCGAGAGAGAGAGAGAGGGGTTGGCATAAGGGCAGATTTGGCAGATACACACATGTCAACTTTCCAGTTTCAATGTTTCAATGTTGCAAACTATCACTAATTGTTAGGCAATTCATCAATATTTAAAGACTTGAAATAGGTATATTGGGCACATAAAAAATTATAATAGAGTCGAGATGTGCATGCTTTGTCTTGATATATTAACTGTAACTTGCCGGTTCGGCCCAGTCACGTACATCAAGCCTAGCTAAAAGACTGTGATATTAACTTAGCCACATAAACCCCCCCCCCCCCCCAAAAAAAAGAGTAGGAACTCGATAAATATAACGGGAAAATGTAGAAAAATATTGCATCGTATTGCATTCTATGAAAACGTAATAAAAAAAAACGAAGGTAGAGTGGAGGATCCTGATTTTAAGTGTTTTCGATTTAGGTAGGTCCATGGTCTGTATAGTAAAGGCCTTTATACATTTACTGTGGATGCACGTACATACCTGGCCAAAGCGATATAGATCACAACCAAGTTAGCTAACCTGGATAAGTATAGACTTCCGGGTTGCACGTGCGTACTATGTTTGCATGAACGTGTTACCTTCGAAAAGTAGAGTCGAAGCAGGGGCGGCGATTCCGGGGGACGGGGGGGGGGGGGGGTGGGGGTCAGTGGCGGATCCAGTGGGGAGGGGGGGGGGAGGGCGGGGGCCCGTGCCGTATTATTGGCCGGCGCGATTTTCAAATTATCGAGAGCAAAAACAACAAAAAATTGTGCTCCTTATCCCCCCGGCTGGATCCGCCCCTGGTGGGGGGGGGGGGGGGGGGAGGACATGCCCCCCCCCCCCCTCTCACGAAAATTTGAAAAAAATGCACACACAAAATTTATAGCAAATACTGACTAAAGACTGCAACACATTTTTAGGCTCTGGAGGGTCAAACAGTGCAGCGTTTAGAATAATAAAATGCACCCCCCCCCCCCCCCCAAAAAAAAAAAAAAAAAAAAAAAAAATCAATTTCGCTCGGTCGCTACGCTCCCTCGCATAGTATTCTTCAATATGTACGAGAAAATATTGTAGAAAATCTGAATTCCTTTAGTGCCCCATGATTCACACAAAATACAGATTTTCCCTCGTATGATCGTCTCCCTGGACATTACCGATTAAGTGAATTTGAAGTTCACCCGTAGGCTTTAGTAATATTGTGATTTTAACTTTTATAATTTCATGGCTTTTTTATTTTCAGTCCGATTGCGCTCAAACTGTTGACAGTCTGATTTTCTGATTTGTTTCTGTTTTCTTTGAAAATTGTGTGCTAGGTTGGATTTCCCATATTAACTTTGGTGATTCTTGATGATAATGATAATAATAATGATCATGATAATAATTATAGTTTGTATAGGCCTATATAGCAAAAAAAACTTTATAAGAAAGAAGGGAGTGGGGAGAGAGAGAGCGTGCATGGAGGAGAGAGGATAGACTGGGGTATGGGACAGGGGGTAGAAAGATCAAGAAAGAGAGAAAAAGAGAGGGAGAGAATGAGAGGAATCATAATTATTGGTACATAGGGATTACGGCAAAAGGAACCCCTTTTCCAATAAAATGATCATAACCCAAAATGTCCTTTTGGGCCTCCTCAAGATATTTTTTTTTTTAAATATTGGAAAACAAAAAAGACGATAATAAGTTTGTTCAACGGAGCGGAACATTACGTAATCATTTTAGAAGGTGGAACAATCTCCCTTTCTAGGGACGTCAAGGCCTAGTCATAAATAAATAAATAAGCATTACACGTACGTGTGAAAGAAATGCTTTTATCCTTTTAGGGAAATTAGGCAACAAAGGCTGTTCATATTATCGGGCGGGAGGGGAGTGAGGCCGTGGCCAGGTGGGGGTGGCGAGGTTTCTGCAAAGTAGGTTTAATAGGGGAATGAACTCCTATCATTCTAGGCCGTTAACAGTCTGTCTTTTCTTTTCCCTTCTTTCTGATTTAGAAAATAATATAAAACAGTTTGTTTCCTCTCAAAACAAAGGTATTGATCTACACATTACTGTAATTTCATTTCTAAAATGAAAAGCTTTATAATTATAATGTACTTCTTTTGCACATGTTTTCTTTTTTTGTTGCATTGTAATAGTTATTGTTTAGTTGTGGAAAGATTTTATTATGCGGAAAATTGTGAATGATTTGTATTTTCTGTTTTGAGTGGAAAAATAACAAGAATACGTGGTTTTAAAATTTTAAAAAGTAGCTCTATATACAACGCATCGCGCTAGCTATAATTGTTAATAATAGAGCGCCCTCTACAGGTTATTTTACGAGAATGGCAGAATCTCTGAACTCAGGTGCTTCGAATACCGAGGTTTGTGATTCATTTTGTTCTGTTAGAAATAGTTAACTTGTAATAATTCGTTACCTTAATAGTATTTAAGATTTTATTTGAAGTTTACGGTATGAAATCATGTAGTGATGTTGCTTTTAAAGGTTAGTAATGCCTCTCTCAATATGGTCCCGGGTTTCTGTATGCCCCATCTATTGCAAGATATGTTGGCATTAACAAGTTATTTATGATTGATAATTCTGACACTTCAGAAACAGATCCAGCAAACCATAGTAGTCAATGCTTGTTTCGCAATTTAACCATTTATTTATGTCCATTCCTGACCATTCTGAACATCTTTTAAAAGCAATAAATGTCTCTTTTTTAATATTCATTAGGCCTAGGCCTAGATCTATTTCATTTGGAAAGGGAAACCTGATAAAATTAGTAGGAAACGGGGCGCCAGTTCAAAAGTCTATCCACAGTCAGTAAGGACGCTGGTCTGAGAATAAGGATCATCTTCATAAACGCGGACCGATTCGTCCTCAAAAATAAGGATCGCAGACGTTTCATATTTTTGATCGGCACATTGGCAATGCAAAAAATGGATTCCATGATGATTTTCTTGGTGCATTTTACATTGACTTTGTACAGAGACCTTCACATTATGAGCAATAAAATCCTTGGGAAGATAGACAACCCATGAAAGTAAATGGTGAACTAGGGTTATTTTCCCCCAGGGAATCCATTTTTGGCATTGCAAGTGGGACAGTGGGTGGTTCGGTAACCCGAAACTCGCAGAGCGCCGATGAAAAAAAAACGTCTGCGAAAATGCAGACCATCCTCATTTTTGAGGACGCATGTTGTCAGCGTTTATGAAGATATCCTCGTTTACGAGGACGATCCTCACTCTCGGACTAGCGCCCCTACTGATCCAGACTTTGACCCAGAACTCTGGCGTGGAGATAGTAAGTATACCGACTAAAACATACTGAAAATCTACTAAATCTTCATCAATTGTTCAAATAATGGTCATGATTTAAAAGCTGCACAATACAATTGCATACCATACCAACGGTGGGGTGCGGGCGTGCGCCTGTGTAATGTTAAGTTAGAATTGCTACAGTCGCTACTCAACACACACGCGCGCCTGCACCCCACCATCGGTACGGTATGCAATTGTGTTGTGCAGCAGTTTGCTGTGAATCCCGTGAGAAAGTGTATATAAGTCTTCGTTTTTAAGAAAAATACTCCAAAAAAGATAAGAAAAATGACACGAAACAGGTAAGAAACAATGATTTTTAAATCATGACCCTTATTTGAACAATTGATGAAGATTTAGTTGATTTTCGGTATGTTTTAGTAGAATGTCTCCATGCCGGAGTTCCGGGCCAAAGTCTGGATAGACTTCTGAACTAGCGCCGGAAACAGATGGTTTGTACTAACGAAAATGGTGGCCTTCAACAAAAAACTATATTGTATTATTTCATCTAATATTGGCCTTAAAATGTATCTATTTCGAAAAACCCTAGTGAGCTCTAATTTTTAATATTTTTTTTTGGCTCCCGAAAATTTGAAAACCGCAGCCCCCTCCCCCCCCCACCCCCCTCAAGCACCAGGGGAGGGGGCCCGTCTCCAAAAAAAAGGTAAAATTAACCCTTTTTTTCCCAGTCGCCCTGACTTTATTACACTAAACTAATCACATTTATCATTCTCCCCAAATATGTTAATGAATTATCATCTTCTGTTGAAATAGGAAACTGAAGATACTCAGGACTTTGATGGGCAGGAAGCTGATCAAGATATTCCAGTCGAGAGTGCTGATAAGAGAAAGAGATTCTTCAACAAAGAGTGTAAGACATCAATTCTTTACAATTGCATTTTGAATATGTTCATGTACCATTTGGATGTTGTAATATACCATTAAGATTTGGTTTATTTGAAGTTCGAAGTTTTATTCATTCCACATTTTACATAGAAAAAACAGTTTATATTCTTTCTTTTTTTGTACAGGCGTATATTATTATAAGAGTAGATTTCACACAAGAAAAAAAAAGAGAAAAAAAAGAAAGAATTCAAATTAAATATAATGTACAGAAAATAAGTACGAAATTTCGAAATATGTATATATAACACGCTAGGTAGAACAATGTAAAATGTGGGGAGCTTAAATAAAAAGCATAGCTTGTATGTGAATAGGCTCCTGCACTGAGTAACACAATATAGTAGGTCTGGATTTAAAAGGTATTATAGGAGGCGAAAACGGAGTAGTATAGCATGAGATTCTAGAGACGTACAAGGAGAGTGAATTTGAGAAGAAACGAAAAAAAGAAATTAAGAGTAAAGAGAATAATATAATAATGATAAGTAGAAGAAGGTGAAGAAGGAAAGAAAGAGGAAGAAGAGGAAGACGAAAAAGAAGTGGAAGAAGAAGAATAAGAGAAAGCAAATTTGACGAAATCAATGGCATTGTAAAATAACAAAAACAAAGTCTGTATAACCACCTGTACGATCCAGCGCGACATTAACATTACTTTTATACATACTTACTCAAAAGGAAACACCTAAGCTTTCGTTTAAATGAATTAATGGAGGGGCTTTCAACTAGTTCGTTATTCAGGGTGTTCCAGAATTTGGGTCCAGTAAAAATAAATGTTTGTTTTGTTAGCAAAAACGGTGCGAGTTCGAGGGAGATGAAAATGACTCAAAGTTCAAGGTTGTGTGATATAGATCTACTAACTTTTTTTTGTCTTTTATGTCTTTTGTCTTTTGTCTTTTCACTTTACAGTGAGATGTATGATGTATGGATTTGGAGATGATCAGAATCCGTATGCTGAGACCGTAGATCTACTCGAAGATTTGGTACTGGATTTCATTACAGATACAGTAAGTCTTTTGATGTATTATGAATAGACAATCTGAGTTTGCATACTGGTATTATGCATTTTCTAGAAGAGTAAATGCTAGATTTTATTACAGTTATATATTTAACACCATGATGTAGAAGTATTTAAACATTTGCATTGAAATGAAGATCATCTTTAAAGATATGCTCACGCCTCTTATGGCACATGAAAGTATGTGTGGTTTTTCTTTCCTCAAACACACATAAGGCCTATTGTAGTGACAGAATAATCTTATCTGCATCTGGTATATTTCATCGAGGCTTTGCAAAGTGAAAAAATAAATTTCCTTAGAATTTACTTCAGTCTTTGAAATACAGAATTTAAGCTTACTATGAGTGTTGAGATTTTTTAATCTACCCAATTCTTAACTGGAATTTAGGTGAAGCAATTTGAAAAACAAACTTGATTATTATACAATATACAGTCACACGCACTCATACCATAATCAGACTCTAATATGTATGTGTAACTTTACCTCCAATGACGAGCAGGCAAAAAAGTATGTTGGATGCGCTTTTTATTTGATGCAAAACAATGTTTCTCAAAATATGAATTATGTTAGGTAAGTCACATGTAAAATAAGTGAAGTTGCTAAAGGGGAGAAGGGTAGGGGGCAACATGAAAGTAATTGCAAAGGAAAAAATAAAAGACAAATGGAGGAAAAAGAAGAGAGGAAAAGAAGAGGGGGGAAGGAAGAAAGGAAAAGTGTGTTGACACCCTTCCTGGCCTGATTCAGCAACACTTACAACAAGCAATACATACATGTACTAGTGCATCTAAACCAGGGCATCCTCTCTAACTTTTTTGGAGGGGGGGGGGGTCTGGATTCAACTTTTTACAATATGTATGCATGAGCCCAAAGTATTAACTTTAAACTCTTGGGGTCAAGACTTAGTGTCTTGGAAGCCTGTTAATGTTGAGCCCCGTTCCCAACCCCTCTCCCACATCCCCACGAGGCAAGTGCCTGCTCTATGTCTGGCCCCATACTACACCCTGGTTAAAGTACTTGTAAATTAGATTTTTTTCTTTCTATTCTTTTTTTCGAAACAGACCCTTAAGGCCACCCACGTCGGCAGGCAAGGCAGAGTTCAGGTAGAGGATATCATCTTCCTGATCAGAAAGGACCCTCGCAAGTACTCCAGGATCAAGCAGCTTCTACTTATGAATGAGGAACTCAAGAAAGCAAGGAAGGCTTTTGACGAAGCCAATTACTAGCCCAGAGGCATTGTTTGTTAATCAGGGTCAGTAGGGGACATCGATGCTTCAAAGGAAATTCCACTACTTCAAGAGACTTGACATTGACAAAGTACATCAGTATCCATCGTTTGATTCTTGGTGAATTCACAGTATTCTGAATCAAGTGTAGAATTACTTAGTGAGTCATTAGGTTAGATTTCTGACAATTCGATATTTGTGAAATCGATGGATTTAAGCAATGCCAATAGTTTGATTGCTGTGTTCTTGTAGAAACGGCAGGAAACTGTATCAAGGTTAGAACAACTTTGTGACTTCTTGTGTAAAGTTCTTGGTGAATTACTTCAGCACATCTGCAGGTCAGGGTCAACTCTGCTCAAGATGGTCAAATGTGGCAAAGGAGACATTGGTCACCAGCGAATGAACTTCCTGTACCAGGCGGCCCACTGCAGCCTGGCACAGAACCCTGGGAACACCCAGCTGGCCAGGTTCTACATAGAAACCATGAAGAACGTAGCGGCAAAGCTCGTGCTGCGACTCGCACCTCACATCAAGCGCACGATATGCAAAAAGTGTAGCGCCCTGTTGGTCCCAGGAGTTACAGCTACGGTCAGGGTCAAGGGTCGACGGCAGAAGCACGTCGTGGTCAGGTGTATGGACTGTAAGCAGGTGAAGAGGTTTAACACAGATGAAAAGCATGTCCTGTGGGTGCATAAACCAGAAGCTGTTCAATGAAAGAGCTAGCTGACAAGCTATGACTAGACAAAGTAATGACTTTGAGGACCTGTCCCCAGTCGTTCAACAAGACTAAAGGCTCATTCAGACATGACGTAAACCACCGCAAAAAAAACGCCAGAATTTCTTTAACATGTAAATGAATGGCAACTGTGGCAACAAAGGTCCTGGGCATATTCACTGAGCTTTGTGTATTACATACATGTACACTTCACATCATTGATAAAATTGTCTTAGTTTTGTCACTTTATATCTGACCGAGGCTTACCAACTCCCTTAGCCTGCGTACCTCAAATTTATAATGATTGAGATATTTGGAAGAAGTGGCAGAGAAATGTATGCCAAAGTCCATTTTCTTAATGTTTTTTATGGTGTATTGTTCTGTATATTCAATTTAATTAATATCAGAGAGCTGTAATTTCCCCTCCCCCCCCCCCCCCCCAGCAAAACGATTGTTATAAAACAAATTAAAATGTAATAATGATAATGAATAAAAGAAGAAAAAAAGGAGGTGTCACTTTTGATAGCAGAATAAGGGGAAGATAAAAAGGGCAAAAACAGAAAGGGTTGTTAATACCTTCCTTTAGGAAATATGTGGGTTAAGCACATTTGCCCCCCCCCCCCCCCCCCTGAACAAAATTAAATTAAAATTGAAAAAATTGAAAAAGAAAGAAATAGAGGACAGAACCAGAAAGGGGCATTAAAAGATAAAGGGTGGGAAGTCAATGTGAAAAGAAGGTAATATGCTACACCACCTCTCCCCCCCCCCCCCTTAAAAAATAAAAAATAATGAATTAAGAATAGCTTTTCATACTCTATGGATTCATTTTTCTTTTTTTCTTCTCCATTTCATCTACCTAATATTGGTGGTGATTGTCCTTAACATTTTTTTAAGTACGGAGTACCCATTTTCTCTATGCATTTTTTCAAAAGCAAAGTTCATATGTACATCATGTATGCATGGATGGTCAGAAATTGTCAGAATGAATTTACATATTCTATTTGATGTATTAAAATAAGATCTGGAATGTACATACTGTATATCAATGAAAGATAGTTGAGCATTGTCATGAATTTCTCCTCTCAAAGCACTGTATAACATCGTTTGGAGTCGGTTGGGTGTTAACTCGTGTCTTTTAACAGAGTTAACGCCCTTTATGTTCTGAACAGGTGATATGTAAATACACCGAATACTGCTTGATCTGAGAAAACCCCTCTGCAACTGTTCATAAACTCACTAAAGTTGTTATCTTGTTATTTAGCAATACTAGGATTTTTGGAAGTGTAAAATTACTATATATTCAGAAGGTTGCATGGGGCTTTCCATTTTTCACACGTACAGCAAAAGCACTAGTTGTCAATAGTTACAAACATCTCTTTTTTGTTCATTTCCGAGCATACAGTGAAAACGGACTTATGAACAATTACACGTCACAAGAAATGAACATTATTTATAACAAAAATAGTTAGTGTATAGAGAGAGAGAGAGAGAGAGAGAGGGAGATACAGAGAGATGAACAGACATGTGTCGAGAAAGAGTTGGACACAGAACATTTAGTAATGATACAAGAATGAGAAAGGGGGAAAATGGAAGAAAGAGAAAGTATTACATTTTGGATGGGATACAAGATCGAGATACGCTCTTACTTGTAAAGGTTATAGAATACCAATAATAAAAAATCAGATGAAAGGGGAGGATTACACATGAAAAGGACTTGCTCCAGCATACATCAATGGACTCATTTCACCAAAGGTGCAAACCTCCTCCATCAGGCTCCGCTCATATTCATCTGTTCATCTTCAACTATCACCTGGTCCTCGAACTCACACCCGCTATGGAGATCGTGCCTTCTCTGTATGTGCTCCTAAACTCTGGAATAATCTCCCCGTCTCTGTCCGTGAATCCCCAACTCTTGACACTTTTAAACGTAGACTTAAGACCTATCTATTCAACACAAAGTAATTGCCCATCATCATACCGTATTTATAACCACATGTCCTATCTTCTTGTAATTTATTTATTGTCTAATTTACATAATTATTGCAGTTTCATTAATGTTACTTAATTATTGTATTTACATTTTCATTTTTCATTATCATGTTATTGTTATACATTGTTAGTTAAGTAATTGGTCTAAATTAAGCGCATTGTTCATTTCATGTTTCTAGTTGATCCTTATTACATATTTAGTTTAACCGTACTTTTCATTTCACTTGTTTTGTAAAGCGCTTAGAAACTGTATTTGTATACCAGCGCTATATAAATCTTAAATATTATATTCTTTTTATATTTTAAAAGATAACAAATATCTACCCAAAACTAATAATGCACAAAGGGAACTAAGGGTCTGCGCACATAATTTGACTTAAAAGTGACAATGATTTTCTTTTATGTTCCTCTAATGCTTAATCCCATATCATTCTTTATATTTTGAAGTGTGCCAAAATGATGGTGAAAACGATGTCATGTTGAAATTGCAATAGAACAGGTTCCCATGTATGCATGCACTCATTCATTTTTAAAGTTAAGGATTTTTAAAGGTAAAGACCAGTATTGGAAACGCCCCAATTTCAAAAAATGAAATGGAAGCTCTCATTACCAATCATGTGAAAGAATATGTTTTGACTAATACATGATGATAAAAAAATTTGCCGGGAAACCGCCTACTAAATCATATATTTGGTAAATTTGTTTCTCTCATGGTCTGTGAGAGATATAGGGTAGTCCCATATACATCTTTCTGTGTATAGTGCTTGTAACTTTACGAAGAATGGGCCAAATTTCTTATCATTTTGATGATTCCAGAACCTTGCAGATGCTAGATGCTAGATGATCAACCTTTTCTGATCGATTCCACAACGTTTCTTTCACAATGCAATCGCATGACCATAACTGGTCTTTACCTTTAAAGTGAAAGATAGCATTTTGGGACTTGTGAATGAAATCACTAAAATCAGACATTTTACAATATATTTTACATATTTATTGCATGAATACATATTGCTACAATAGACATATATTAGGTGTCATTTATCACTTGTTTTGATTTATCATGATCGCACAGCTCCGTGTAAGCTCAGACATACGCACTCAAATTATACATGTACTACATTCATTTGCAGAGGTCTAATGAAAAGGAAAGCCAGTTCACACAAGATTCATTCTTTATAATAATATTTTATTAAGCAATTTACAACATAGATAAGTATAACATACATTTGTATATGAATTTTGATTGAATATTGGAAGATAGTTAGTTTCTTATAATAGACTATATAAATATGTACATGGATCACGTACTTCTCATATCGTGATAGTATGAGTAAGATTAAACTTCAGTATAGCTTATTCAAAGATTCATTTGGTAAAGATTAGCTACCGATTCCTTTTTGCTTTTGGTAAAGTGTCAACAAATATTCCTAAAATGTGTACAAGTTAAAAATACAAACGCACTTTCTTTCTGCTTTGGTAGATAATAAATACTGTACATAAATACATTCTGTAAAAAAAGCAATCTGGAAGTTGATTAGAATCTATCACACAAATGCTATTCGGTGGGTGAGAAATGGACGGTTTTGCTTACCAGTAAACTACACATACTTGTGCTTTCCTAATGTTTGAAGTGCCCCAAATTCAATTCAATAAAAGTTGCATGCACTGTACACCGAAATGAGTATATGGGACTACACACACATGTGCAATGAAAGTAGAAAGATAGCATAGTAATGACCAATAAAAAATACTAGCATGAAAGTTTGTCTGTATATTTTAGTGAAGCATGTTTGAGAGTTATCAAGACTTTTAATCTCAATATGAATTCTTCACCTCATAAATTTTCAGGTTTTTAAGCTACAATCTTTGTCCGTGATGACACCCAACTTGACTTTTCTAACATAATGGGCATGATAACCAAGAATAGATACATGTAGTTGAAGATTGAGCTACTCATCTCAACATGAGTGCATACACCTGTCACCTGTCACCTGTCACCTGTTACCTGTCACCTGTCGTAAGTTGAAACATGAGTTCGGTTGGAAATAGATTTGGATGCGATTTCAAGCATTGATCATATTACAGTGGCGCAATATGGCTCAGTGGTAGAGTAGTGGTCCCTGGTTCGAAACCAAGGTGATGCGCTGGTGTCCTTTGGTAAGGCATTAATCCTCGGAGAAGAATTTAAAGCCATCGGTCCCCTGGTTGCTTACTTAATACAAGCATAGACATACCTTTTTAGCAGTCAATAAAACAATCATCATCATCATCAGTATCATATACATTGCTGATCCAATAACCGATCCACTGCGGTTTAATAAACAACGCAGAAGTACCTCCAGCCACTTCCCTAAGGATTGAAGTCTTTAACCACAACTCACAATTAAATTGAAACTTTCTGTGTCACCAAGTTTATGAAACACTTGTAATTGTACCTACACTGTACAGTGCCCTACTTCATTGCTTAATTGGGCATAAAATAAAATCTTCTCTGATAATAAAATTCACGGTGTATTTCCGTTGAGGAAGGAGAGCGTAACCATTCTTAGTTCCAGCATAATAGCTCAACACTCAATTCTTGATATCCTAGTCACACAATTGGCATTGTTTAACGAAACAGTCATAAGTATACAAGTTCACACGACATCCCATTGAAACGTGTGTGTGAAATCAATGGGTTGTTGGCAAACTTGTACTTATGAAGGTTTTATGAAACACTACCCAGGCCAACAACAGACCAAACAAAGTACTAAATTACCCCCAAATGACCAAGAATTGGCCAGTTTGGAGTCGGTCAGGTGATATGACTGAGGTAAGAGCAAGATTTACTGCCCATAGATTTTCAATGTTCAATTCAGCTATCATCCATAAACCAAGAAAAAATGTTCCTTGTATACAAACACCACACTGGCCATAGTAGGATCCATATTTACTGGCAAGCTCCTAGTATACTCCTGGAAATGTCATGGCACCTATAGTGTTGATACTCTTCCAAATGGCTCTGAAAAATGAAAAGAAAAAAAAGTGATCAGAGATGAAAAAAAAAATTAAAACAAATTACTCCCACACCCATATTCTTGTGTTTCGAAATGCTAAATACCGGTACAGATTCTATTTTTCATTTCATTAATTCAAAAATTCATTTATTTGCAGAAATTATTTGCAATATTCCTAGAATTCACAAATCATTCTTTGGTCCTTTTAGACCATCTACTCAGATGCTGCAAGGCCAGGGTCTGTTGCACAAAACAGTTGCTTTATCCCATAATTATAAACAAAACACAATTTTGAAGACATGAGCACGTGTCCTTCCCAATATCATTTCGGTTTTGTGAGAGGAACCTGCAATATAAGATGTCAATTCATAAAAGAATAATCTAACAGTGCCCATAAGCCAGCAGCATAACAGAATGGTGCTGATGTAACAAGTTGTCAATATATAACCAGGTAAATTCCTTGGTTCCAAGAAATTTGTTATAAAAAGGTCATGATATACTTTCAAAATACCAGTTCCAGATAAAACCCTCCTGCTTCAGTGCTACTTCACAATGTTATTGACCTACCTGATATCTGTATCCGGTGCATCATACCTCTCGAGAAGTTTGTCCACATCCACACTCAGACCCTGGAAACGAACCAAAACAAATAATTATTGATAAATGAGAATAAATCTTGAACAAATCGTATGCAAAGTACACAAACTCACACACAAAATTGTAATTACAGGAGATCTTTTCTGATCAGATATCAATCAAATATTATTTTATCATAGTAATTGTTATGCACTTTATTCATTGTGCTTTTTTTTTTTAATCACAGCCCTTATTTTTCTTTAGTGTGCTTTTTTACCAAAGCTCATTTTTTTTTCTCCCTTATTGGGCTTTGTTTTTCCAAAGCTAAACTGCTCACAGGTCCAGGGATATTTTTACATCATCACTCAAAGGGCACAACTCAGAATCCAATCAGTATTCACAGAGAAGGAGAGAGAGAGAGAGCATGCTTGTTTTAATCATTCAAGACTCAAGTCAACAGTTTATACTCAGAGGGGTCAAACCCCTCTCAGCTTTAAAGCCCCACTGCACTACTTATGGCTACTTGCGCCCTCTATATAGCCAACAATGCCTAATCGGTGCCTGTTGGTCCCCCATGATGAGATAACCACCTGTCAGATAATCGCCCTGGCCAAACTAGTACAGACAGGCTTAAGAAGAAACTTTTACCTGTATTGTCTTCGCCAAGTACTCATTAGTGGAGAGGAGTTTGAGCACCTCTGCCTCCGTATCCCTCAGACAGCCTTCCATATGGTCACAGATAGACCGAGGCACATGGTGCTCGTGAAGGTCCTCTGTCAGGGCTTCTATCTCACCCTGCAGGTCTAGGATCTTATTATGGTGTTCCAGTACCTGGTCCCCTTGGCCCAGGACTATCTCCTCTTCCTTGGCCTTGACCCTCGCGGCGATGGGGTCGGGGAGGCCGATGAGAGGCGGAAGCTTGGCAACCGCATGTTCTTCTTTGCGCAGTGTCTCTCGTAACCTGTGCAGCATGAATTCATGAAAAGGCATTGTCAGAAGAAGAAAAAAAATCGAAATCAAAAGATCGTTTAAAACATAAACACATTACCATAATCAGAACAAAGAATAAAAAGTTTAAAGATGCTTAGTTTGTAGACTGTTTGACATGGGGGTCAGATATACCAATTCAGCCTGTGACGAAATACTTATTAGTCCATCAAGGAGACCAGGACCTTATCTTATGAAGAGTTGCGATAGATCCAAATCAATCCCAAGTCCTACAATCAATAGCAAGTTAAAAGTCACCTGTCTCTTATGTATAGTTGCAATTATATCAATCACAAATAAGTTGCAATCAATATCGACTCTTTGTACGATGGACTTCATTATTCCTAGAGTTTATGAATCGTGTACACTCCATAAGGAGTCAATAGTCAAACAAAATAAAGAGTTCTTGCTTACCTGTCATTTTCTTCAAGCAGATTCTTAGTCTCCTGTTCCATTTTCTTGACCACGTCCTGACCGATAGCCAGTTCTCCAGGCAGGACCACACCACTTGCAGTCAGTCCCCTGACCTGCTGGCTCAGGATCTCACCATGCTTGTGAGGCTGTGTGTCCAGTAGTAACCCCATGTAAAGGTCAAACTCACCCTATAAATCAAAAGTGCCAGGTGAAAATTTGTGAGAAGTTTCTAAATTGACCTTTACGCAAACACCATGTCTGCCTGTAGAGGGCGAACTTCCTCCTTTACTGCGCAGTTTGGCACATGTGCAGATACTATACTGGGGAAGACGCCAAGACAAGCTTTCATCCGGTTTTTCGGCTTCCGTAGAGAATGTACAGCGGTTTCAACTAATTCCTTATTAAACTAAACCATTGTTCAGGTTTCATGAACTCCCCCGAATGATTTAATGAGATCTGTAGGTACCATCATAATGGGTTCTAGTTTATTGGTTCCGAAACTATAATTTCTATCCGAAGTTCAGTCCTGTTCGTTGTCCATAGTCGTATTATACCCGATTGGCCCCGACTCAGGCCATGGGAAAGACACTTAGTCTCGATTCCATGACATTTGCTCCGGCGACAATTGCTCCGCTGTAAATTTCATACACTAATCGAATGGCTAACTTCAACCCTGGATTCAACACTATACCCTACCCTAAACCTAACCCTAAACCTAACATAAAACCCTATTGAAACCTTAACCCTAACCCTACATCTTAGACGAAATAAAGCCCGGAGCAATTGTCGCAGGAGCAAATGTCGTGTCACCTTAGTCTCGTCAGGCTACACTCCCTTTAATCTATTGAGGATCTCACCTTGACTTCCAGCAGAACCTTGGCAAAGGTTGGGGTTTCTTCGATGAGTTCATCCCAGATATCACTGTAGATCTGCAACCGGTGAAAGTTTGGCGCACTGAATCTAGCCTCCACATTCAGCTCCTGAAGTTTCTACAAATTGGATATTCAATGAAATATAAAGTTTAAAAATAGTGTCGCTCGTTTGCAGGAGACACCTAAATAGCAGAGAATTATTTTAACAATAACAAGATTTATGGCATGGCTCATACACTTACTTGGAAAGTACTGAAGTCTGAAATAACATTAAAATTTCATATGCAACCCACCAAATATCACTGTAGACATAACTTGCACTTGGGAGTCTGTGGGAATGTGTGTATTAAATACATCAAAATCAATTGGTAGCCAATGTGAAGGGAGTGATAACACCAGGCATTTGTTTTTTGTGGGACATCTTGATATCTTACTCACTTAAGACTATATGTTGTTTTGTTTCATGAGTATATTACGTTTTAAGCCAGGAATTTCAAAAAGGAAAATAAGCTTCAACATCCTTAAATTGGCAACACGTTGAGGCATTCAAGATCATTGTTTTTCAATGAAATTTGTCATTATTTCAACTTTCGACAACATTCTCGCCCATGTATATTGCTTTCAGAGACATTACATTTCATCCAAATAAGCTCAATAAAAGAAAACTATTATTGCAGCCAATTTGAAGAACAATAGGTGATCAATTTGGCTCTAAAAATAAATCCTGTCCTGAAAGGGTAAAAATGCAAGTCCCTATTGATGTTTCTGAACTCTGTCCGCTGTTCCCTACCTCATATAATTTCCTTTCCAAATGTGCCACTGCTTTCCTCCCTGTTAAGACCCCTTTCTCATACATCTCCTCTTTCCTCAGTACATTCTTCTGAAAGTCTAGAAACCTATTGAGCTGGTCTCTTTTCGTAATCCCAGCCAGGTGGCTTTGCACAAATTGTTGCTTGTGCAAGTCCCTCCCTCCAGCACTCCTGTCCTCCCTCTTATCAAATGGAGGCAACCGGTGGGGGGGAGACTGGGTCCGTGAGATCCCCCGAGTTGTTTTCTGACGAGAAACAGGGAGCATGATTTCGGGCAGGGACAGCTCTTCGACGCAAACGCCATCGTCAATGTACGAAGCTGGGGAATCCATCCGAGCATCCAAATTAGACGCTCTCTGGGGTTGGGCTCTGCTACCATGGTGACTACCTGCGGATGCTTTGGTAGTTCTCTGGTCCGTCCTTAGGTCTGCTGGGGTAGGGTGAGGCAAACTCCCAGCTGTACCTGTGCTGAAGTGATACAAGGCCTGCACCATTTCTTCTTCTTTACTCTGAAAGTGGAGGAAAGCAAAAAGGCCTTTAAAATTATTAGGTTTACAAGACTAGATTACATTGTAGCATATTGCCTATAACAAAAATTAATAGTATTGGTATTGAAGCTTTATGTCTTGCACTACTCAAAGTCTCAAACTGTGTGTCTCTCTCTCTCTATTCAGTGATATTCTTTGATTTTCTTTTTTTTTAAGTATCTATAATTATCTTCTCTTTAGTTAAATGGAAATAAGCCATATGACATAAAGGACTAAGACATGTCTCATTTGACAAATATCCTTTGTTTTCCCGCGGACAAATGACAAGTCACTCTATTGAGACCATTGATCAATAATATAATGATTTGGGGATGGGTGTACAGACACATGACAAACATAAAGACTTATCTTTTGCATTCGGATTTAACAGAAAATATTCATCAAATAGCACTAACCATCATGAATTTTTTTCCTTTATAATATTGTCCAGCATAAGTCTTAGAAGATATATGAAATATTTCTGTAAACTTCTTTGAATGGCTGTTTTGAATTAACTTTGCACACAACTTGTCCCAAAACACAACATCTGGGCATACGTTATGATGGGCATAAACAAGACTTCCATGTATTGCAGCTATAATGGTTATAAATAAGGCTTCACTATGTCAAAATGTCATATTTTCATCTAGTATGGAATCACACTTTTTGCTGTTTCTTTAATCATATATTAAGATAATTTCTTTACCTGTGCACGTCTCGGCGAGGGCAGCTTGCTTGGGGCAAGCAGCAGGGGTACCTCCTTGCCTGAACTCTCCCACGGCTTGTGGGTTGCCATCTCAGGGGGCTTTGAGAGCCGGTTGTGATTCAAGTGACCCTTGGTCCTCAGTAAGATGTCATACTTCTGCTCCTGAAAGAGACCCTCCATGACGTCCCGAAGGGGGCGAGAACTAACCCCCGGTGGAGGGAGGGGCCCGTCAGGACCCTCTTGTTCTGAAGCCATAGCCAATATGAAGACTACTGCGAGGTTATAGTAATGCCCTCTAGGTTTTTGAACAGTCCATAGAATGTGTTGGAGAAGTGTCTATAGAAGATAAACAAACAGAAATTTAAGATGTACTGAACAATGAATTGGAGAAGGAAAAAAGTGCTAGGAGTGGGCGAACCACCATCATAAAAAAAAATGGGTCCTAACACTCAGAATATCATTAATCAATAAGACGCAAAAACAAAATTGGTTCTGACATACGAAGCTCATGGCAAGAACCCATTAAATTTTGATTGATGACTTTAAAAGATTTGTTTTTGTTTTATCCATTTTATCACCTTTATTTTTATCTTGTCATATGGTGAGAGACATGCAGACAACCCCCCCCCCCCCCAAAAAAAAAAAAAAAAAAAAAAACAACAACACTGGATTAGATGACTTTTGGCATTTCAAAATAAAACAAACCCCAAAAGTGAATGGTGGTAATCACACCAAGCTGCCTCTGCCTACATCATACGTGTATCTTACTAACTTTCCTTTTTCTCATTCTTCTCCTTCTTTCTTCACTAGCCTTTCTCTCTTCAATTTTCTTCTACTTCTTCATTTTCCTTATACCGGTACTCCCCCTTCTCTTCTTTAATCTCCCATCCATCTCTTTCTTATCTTCCTCTCCTTCCTTTTCTCCTATTTTTATCCTCCTATTTTAATTCCTCTTGTACCATATTCAGAAATCCTGAATTTTCTGAATACCGATTACTGCATGATACTCCCCTCCTGTCCCCCTCCCCAACCCCTCTCTCTCTCTCTCTCTCTATTTTTCTTCTCATCTTCTTCTTCTTCTAGATCTACATCTTCTTTCTTTCTTTGTTGTTGTCTTCTTCTTCTCATCCTCTCTTTTGTTTTTTACTTCTTTTTATCCTCCTTCTTAATTGCAATTCCTCTCTAAACTCGAGTCTAGTATTTAAAAATCCTGAATTTCCCTTATAGGGTTTACTGCTGTCACTGATTAAAGTAGGTCTACTCCCCTCCTCTGTCTCTCTCTGTCTCTGTCTCTCTCGCTTCTTCGTCTTTTTCTCTTCTTCTTCTCCTTCTCCTCCCCTCTAGCTCCCCCTCCTCCTCCTTCTCCTTGAAATTCTTCTTCTTCTTCTTCCCCCTCCTCTTCTTCTTCCCCTTCCCCTTCCCCTTCCTCTTCCTCTAGCCTCTTCTGCTTGTGCTAGTGCTACAATTTTACAAATAAAAAAAACAAATAAATGCACGCATGGGACTGGTTCGTATTACCAACTGGATATAGACTCTTTTTGTGCAGCGTCACCCCGAGACCTAGAGCTTTGTCAATTACACTAAACTATGCAGAGATTAAAATAATATCAGAAAAATATTTTCAAATCTTTTCTTATCAAGAAAGTATTCATATTTACCGTGAAGCCTGCAACTGAAAAATGATCAAGGGATTTCTTAATTTTGTTTACGCTGGCCAAGTTGCTATGCTAGTCAACTGTAGATGGCGCTCGTTAAATGTGAGTAATTTTTTGTTCACGTTCGAGATACATGCTGGCGACGTCGACTGTCCTCATTTCAACGTTTCACCTTGTTTTCTACATTTGTGTGTTTGCCTAAGTCGCCACATATTTGAAAATGTCCGCTGCGGATAGATCCGTCCGTTCTGTCTTTGGTAAGAAACTCCAAATATTAAGATTTGTAGAAAAACAAGCATGATAAGTTGATTATAGACGAGACCTACTGTAAGTTCTTCTCTCAAGTCAAGTCAAGTCAAGCGTTTACCCGTCACTGCACCGGTACACTGCACCAATATGGCACGCCACAGCCGTCATAATTGGTCGAGTTTACAAAAAAGCAGTCGACTTTACAAAAAAGCAATCGAGTTTACAAAAAAGCAGTCGAGTTTACAAAAAAGCAATCGAGTTTCCAAAAAAGCAGTCGAGAAAAAAAAAAAAGCAGTCGAGAAAAAAAAAAAGCAGTCGAGAAAAAAAAAAAAAGCAGTCGAGAAAAAAAAAAAAAGAAATCGAGAAAAAAAAAAAAGCAGTCGAGAAAAAAAAAAAAGCAGTCGAGAAAAAAAAAAAGCAGTCGAGAAAAAAAAAAAGCAGTCGAGAAAAAAAAAAAAAGAAGTCGAGAAAAAAAAAAAAGCAGTCGAGAAAAAAAAAAAGCAGTCGAGAAAAAAAAAAAAGCAGTCGAGAAAAAAAAAAAGCAGTCGAGAATAAAAAAAAAAAAAAGCCGTCGAGAATACACCAGTTTACAGTTGTATCAGTGCGCATGCGCAGACAGTTGACCTCGGGTCATTGGCCCCAAAATTGGGGCCAATAACCTCTGACCTCTGGTATTTATGCGTAAATTAAAATTGCGCCCATGCAAATGATGATGTGCGCGCACAACGCAGCGCGCAGGCAGTGATGTCATCATTATTTGCATGGGCGCAATCTTAATTTACGCATAAATACATGACTCCTAGGTCATTAGCTTTGTTTAAAATGGCGCACACAACTGTAAACTGGTGTATACGTGCCTTCACGGTTGTTTCATCGCAAAGCATGCTGGGACATAATTCTAGTACATTTTTACCTTCGCCGTGATCAGCTGTCCCGTTGCAAACAACGGGATTCTTATAGAAGCAACATCTTAATCTTGTACATAATCCGCTATTCTGCAGTGATTTTCTTTCACTCCAGTATCATTTGTACGGTAAGAAACCAAAGTTTGTGTTTATTCATTTTTATGACGAATAAAGCTGATAATACGACGTAATGAGAGTGGGCCGGGGTCCAACTTTAGTAAATGTAGGCCTAGATCTAGTCCCGTATGTTTAAATGTGTGTGCATTTTAAGTAGACTGATTGCCTTGTGTTTTAGGTAGAAGTTAACCAAATTTACAGTAAAATGAGACTTATGTCTCAGGAAATATGAATAGGTCTAGATCCTATAAACTATACATAATTGATATTGGAATAGGATCTACTAGAATGGCCGACACGACAGTTAGATAGTGATGGTTTTTTGTTGTTGTTTTAGTTTTAAGGGCGTGTGTCATTCAATTATGAATATTTACGCTGTGGTGATGGCAAATGAATTAGTCTAGGCCCTAAATGTAAAAAAAGTAAAAAGAGGCCATGAAAACGATAGATTTGTCGATCTGGATCTGGATATAATAGTCTGATATCGATGACCTTAACTTGAGCATCTACATGGGTCTACATGAACTTGTGTTAAAGAAGTGATAAGGATTCTTTTGTTACAATTATTCTTGTGGTCACAAACTTAAATTTGATTGCCTTTCTCCTTTTATTTATCAGTTGCAGCATCATCGAACACGATGACCAATGAATCAGAAGATGACGTAGATGTTACTAGAGAGCTCATTTCAAAATGGACAACAGAAGTGCTACGTGACTTTCTACAAGGAGGAGACTCAAGCTTGTAAACCGAGGAGTCATTATTTTATGGATGTTCTCTGCCGGCTGCCTTGACGCTGGGGGTAGCTTTTCAGCCATCCGAGGTTAAGACTGAGAGGAACTGGACAATGGATGGATAGGGGAGGACGGGGGGGGGGGGGGGGGGGGGGGGGGGGGGGGGGGGGGGGGGGGGGGGGGGGGGGGGGGGGGGGGGGGGG